CAGGATAAATGAGGAATAAGATTCCCAGAATTTGCATGAGGAGAAATTTGCACACGTGAGGAATGCGCGAATCCGGCTTCTCCCAAAATAGAAATAAAACCAGGAGAGATTAAAAAAAAATGTCGCGGCTTCCAGCCATTCTCCCGTGCCGCGTGTGCATTTTTTTTCCAGGCGGAAAATTCCCACGAGAATTTTCAGTCCCTCATTTTGTGGGATCTTGGAATTGAGGAGGAGGCCAGAAAAAAAAAAAAAGGATGCTCGCCAGCCTTTGAATGAACGGATCATATTTGGATAAATGGGATTAAGAGAGATTAATAGAGCTGGGCTGACCTGCAAAATAGGGCGGAATATTAAAATATCTGGCTGGTCCCAGGAGAAGCATTTTAAAAAATAAATAAAAAAAAAAGGAGCCCAAATTCAGCTAGAATCTGTAAAGCGTTGGAATTCCTCCAGGGCAAATTTACCCATTCTGCTTACTGGCCGGCTAGGGCAGGGGTCAGCAACCTGTGGCTCCAGAGCTGCATGCGGCTCTTTGGGCCCTCTGCTGTGGCTCCCTGTCAGATGATCCCACCACGGGCTGGCCCTCCCCTCCCAGTCACTCCTCGCCTGGCCTGAGAAGGTAAGGGCGACAGCGGGGGATGGAGAAGCAGCCAGGACAGAGACAGAGAGATACAGAGAGAGCGGAAGAGAGAGAAAGAGACATAGAGAGATACAGAGAGAGGGAGAGAGAGAGAGACAGAGAGAGATACAGAGGGGGAAAGAGAGAGAGACATAGAGAGATACAGAGAGAGCGGGAGAGAGAGACATAGATACAGAGAGAGGGAGAGAGAGAGACATAGAGAGATACAGAGAGGGGGAGAGAGAGACATAGATACAGAGAGAGGGAGAGAGAGAGACAGAGATACAGAGGGGGAAAGAGAGAGACAGAGATACAGAGAGAGCGGGAGAGAGAAAGAGACATAGAGAGATACAGAGAGAGAGGGAAGGAGAGAGGCATAGAGAGATACAGAGAGGGGGAGAGAGAGAGAGACAGAGAGATATAGAGAGAGCGGGAGAGAGAAAGAGACAGAGAGATACAGAGAGGGGAGAGAGAGAGACAGAGAGATACAGAGAGAGCGGGAGAGAGAGAGGGAGAGAGAGATACAGAGAGAGAGGGAGAGAGAAAGAGACATAGAGAGATACAGAGGGGAGAGAGAGAGAGAGACATAGAGAGATACAGAGAGGGGGAGAGAGAGAGACATAGATACAGAGAGAGGGAGAGAGAGACAGAGAGATACAGAGGGGGAAAGAGAGAGACAGAGATACAGAGAGAGCGGGAGAGAGAAAGAGACATAGAGAGATACAGAGGGGGGAAAGAGAGAGAGACAGAGATACAGAGAGAGCGGGAGAGAGAAAGAGACATAGAGAGATACAGAGGGAGAGAGAGAGAGAGACATAGAGAGATACAGAGAGAGCGGGAGAGAGAGAGACAGAGATACAGAGAGAGCGGGAGAGAGAGAGACAGAGAGATACAGAGAGAGAGGGAGAGAGAAAGAGACAGAGAGATACAGAGAGGGGGAGAGAGAGAGACAGAGAGATACAGAGAGAGAGGGAAAGAGAGAGGCATAGAGAGATACAGAGAGGGGGGAGAGAGAGAGAGACAGAGAGATATAGAGAGAGCGGGAGAGAGAAAGAGACAGAGAGATACAGAGAGGGGAGAGAGAGAGACATAGAGAGATACAGAGAGAGCGGGAGAGAGAGATACAGAGAGAGAGGGAGAGAGAAAGAGACATAGAGAGATACAGAGAGAGAGAGAGACATAGAGAGATACAGAGAGGGGGAGAGAGAGAGACATAGATACAGAGAGAGGGAGAGAGAGAGACAGAGAGATACAGAGGGGGGAAAGAGAGAGACAGAGATACAGAGAGAGCGGGAAAGAGACATAGAGAGATACAGAGGGGGGAAAGAGAGAGAGACAGAGATACAGAGAGAGCGGGAGAGAGAAAGAGACATAGAGAGATACAGAGGGGGGAGAGGGAGAGAGACAGAGAGATACAGAGAGCGGGAGAGAGAGAGACAGAGATACAGAGAGAGCGGGAGAGAGAGAGACAGAGATACAGAGAGAGCGGGAGAGAGAGAGAGACAGAGATACAGAGAGAGAGGGAGAGAGAAAGAGACAGAGATACAGAGAGGGGGAGAGAGAGAGACAGAGAGATACAGAGAGAGAGGGAGAGAGAGAGGCATAGAGAGATACAGAGAGGGGGGAGAGAGAGAGACAGAGAGATATAGAGAGAGCGGGAGAGAGAAAGAGACAGAGAGATACAGAGAGGAGAGAGAGAGAGACAGAGAGAGATACAGAGAGAGCGGGAGAGAGAGAGGGAGAGAGAGATACAGAGAGAGAGGGAGAGAGAAAGAGACATAGAGAGATACAGAGGGGAGAGAGAGAGAGAGAGACAGAGAGATACAGAGAGAGAGGGAGAGAGAGAGAGACATAGAGAGATACAGAGAGAGAGGGAGAGAGAGATATAGAGAGAGAGATACAGAGAGAGGGGGAGAGACAGAGACAGAGAGAGATACAGAGAGAGAGGGAGGGAGAGAGGGAGAGAGGGAGAGATGTCAAAAGGATTTTGTGGTTCGCGGTGTTTTTTTAACAACTGGTTCTCTGCCCCAATGACCGGCTGGGTAGACGTGGCTGGGGGGGGGTCATGTGACTGGTGGAAGTGAGTGACATCGAGCTGGCCAGGCCCATCCAGGTTTTGTGGCTCCCGGTGTTTTCTTTTCTGTGGGAAACGGGTCCAAATGGCTCTTTTGAGTATTTAAGGTGGCAGACCCCTGGGCTAGGGGATTCTGGGAGTTGAAGTCTGCCGGTCTTAAAAAGTTGCAGGTGATTGAGGAAATATTTGCTGGGGTGGCCCCAAAATCCGGAGGGTGGTCCTCGGGATTTGTCAACAGGACGAATTATATCCATCCAGGTGAGTTTAAAAGTCCCCTTTGGAAAACTTTTTGGGCAGGGGCAAAAAGGTTTTGGGTCCCCCCAGACTGAAACTCTCTTCAAGTATTTTTAAAGTATTTAAATATTTAAAAATATTTAAGTATTTTTTATTTTATTTAAGTATTATTTTCAAGACTTCTCTAGTATTGTGAAGCCAATGCTGACTCCAATCAGCAGGGAAGGAAGGAAGGAAATAAGGTAACAGAAGCGGAAGGAAGGGAGGGAAGGAAGGAAGGAAAGGAAAGGAAGGAAGGAAGGAGAGAGGAAGGGGGAGAGGAAGGAAGGAAGGAGGGAAGAAGGAAATGAAGGAACAGAAGAGGAAGGAAGGAGGGTGGGAAGGAATGAATGAATGAAAGAAAGAAAGAAAGAAAGAAAGAAAGAAAGAAAGAAAGAAAGAAAGAAAGAAAGAAAGAAAGAAAGAAAGAAAGAAAATAAGGGAGGGATAGTAAGTGAGGTAGGAAGGAAAGGAAGGAGTGGAAGAAAGGGGAGAGGGAAGGAAAGAAAGGAACAGAAGAGGAAGGAAGAAGGGAAGGAAGGGAGGAAAGAAGGAAGAAAGGAGGGAAGAAGGAAATAAAGGAAGGAGGGAAGGAAGGAAAGAAAGAAAGAAAGAAAGATAAGAGGAAGGACGAAGGGAAGGGAGGGAGGGTGGGAGGAGAGAGGAAAGAAGGAAGGAAGAAGGAAATAAAGGAACAGAAGAGGGAGGAAGGAGGGAGGGAAGGAAGGAAAGAGAGAGGAAAGAAGGAAGGAAGAAGGGAAGAAGGAGGGAAGAAGGAAATAAAGGAACACAAGAAAGAAAAGAGGAAGGAAGAAGGGAAGGGAGGGAGGGTGGGAGGAGAGAGGAAAGAAGGAAGGAAGGAAGAAGGAAATAAAGGAACAGAAGAGGGAGGAAGGAAGGAGGGAAGGAAGGAAGGAGAGAGGAAAGAAGGAAGGAAGGAGGGAAGAAGGAAATAAAGGAACACAAGAGGAAGGAAGGAAGGAGGGAGGGAAGAAAGAAAGAAAGAAAGAAAGAAAGAAACATAAGAGGAAGGAAGGAAGGAAGGAAGGAAGGAAGGAAGAAAGAAAGAAAGAAAGAAAGAAAGAAAGAAAGAAAGAAAGAAAGAAAGAAGAAAGAAAGATAAGAGGAAGGAAGAAGGGAAGGGAGGGAGGGTGGGAGGAGAGAGGAAAGAAGGAAGGAAGGAAGAAGGAAATAAAGGAACAGAAGAGGGAGGAAGGAGGGAGGGAAGGAAGGAAGGAGAGAGGAAAGAAGGAAGGAAGGAGGGAAGAAGGAGGGAAGAAGGAAATACAGGAACAGAAGAGGAAGGAAGGAGAGAGGAAGGGAGAGAGGAAGGAAGGAGGGAAGGAAAGAAAGAAAATAAAATAAATAAATAAATAAATAAAAGAACACAAGAGGAAGGAAGGAGGGAAGGAAAGAAAGAAAATAAAAGAAATAAATAAATAAAAGAACACAAGAGGAAGGAAGGAGGGAAGGAAAGAAAGAAAAGGAAAGAAAGAAAGAAAGAAAAAGGGGGAGGGAGAGAGCAAGTAAGTGAGGTAGGAAGGAAAGGAAGAGGAGAGGACGAAAGGAGGGAAGGAAAAAAAGAAAGAAAGAAAGAAAGGAATGCCGGAAGCTTGAAGGGCAAAGCCGAGAAACCATCTCTGGCTTACTCTACCAACCAGCCTCCCTCCCTGGCAGAGTTTGGGGGGGGTCGGGGCGTCGCGGAGACCCCGCTTGGAGACTCCCCCACCCCCCCACCCCCAGCATCCCCAAGCCCCCCTCGCGCTTCCCCCCCTTCCCCCTCGCCTGCATCTCCCGTGCAGGAAGCATCCTGCCCGGAGTGGTACCCATCCATCCTTGGGGGCTTCCGGGGGGCTCCCGGGATTGGGGGAGGAAGGATGGGGGAGACTCTCCCCTCCCTCCCTCCCTCCCTCCTCTTTCCCCCTCCCTCTCTCCTCCTCCCCCCCTCCTCCCTCCCGCCCAGTGCACTGCGGAGTCTGGCGAGGGGGAGGAGCCTCAGGTTGGGGGCGGGGCCTAGAGGGGGAATAATGGGGAGGGGGTGGAGGAGAGAAGACCCAACCGAGGCTCAGAGCATCCTTTGGTCCAGCAGGAGGAGAGACGCGCGGGACAGCTGAGCAGGGTTGCGGGCCAAGCGGTTGCTGGGCTGGGCTTTTATATTTTGGGGAGGGGGTGTCTCCAGAGGACCAAGCGGACCTAGAGGAGGACCAAGCCGAGCCCAGGAGGGTCTCCCAAGAGCCCATCATCCCCAACCCCTCCGCCTGCCACTCCAACCCAGGTGAGTTCCCCCTCCTGGTCCTGATGCGGGACCGCACCTTGCGGGCCGCGGCATCCTGGCTGGGGTGTGTCCCCGAACCACCCGCTGCATCCTTTTGAGGGGGGGGCAGGGCCGTGGCAGATGGGCTTTGTGGTCCCGAGTTGGGGAGTTTTTTTTTTTCCTCTGATGGGGCTCCCTCCTTTCTCCTCTTCCTCCTCCTGTTCCTCGCAGGGAGAGGGGGGGGTTCGCCCTGGGATGGGCAATTGGAGGGCGCGGAAGATGGGCTTTGTGGTCCCCGAGTTGGGAAGATTTCTCTGATGGGGCTCCCTCCCTTCTCTTCCTCCTCACGGGGAGGGGGGGTTTAGGGCTCTCAATCCCCCCCCACCCATGAAGACCCCCCCCAGCCCGGCTTGGGGGGGTCCCCCCACTTTTCCGAGTTTCTCCGCTTTCCCACGCTCGGCGTTGCGTGCAAGATGGGCTTTGTGGTCCCCGAGTTGGGGAGGGTTTTTTTCTGATGGGGCTCCCTCCTTTCTCCTCTTCCTCCTCTTCCTCTTCCTCGTGGGGAGTAGGGGGGTCGTCCTGGGATGGGCAATTGTAGGGCGCAGAAGATGGGCTTTGTGGTCCCCGAGTTGGGAAGATTTCTCTGATGGGGCTCCCTCCCTTCTCTTCCTCCTCACGGGGAGGGGGGGTTTAGGGCTCTCAATCCCCCCCCACCCATGAAGACCCCCCCCAGCCCGGCTTGGGGGGGTCCCCCCACTTTTCCGAGTTTCTCCGCTTTCCCACGCTCGCCGTTGCGTGCAAGATGGGCTTTGTGGTCCCCGAGTTGGGGAGGGTTTTTTCTCTGATGGGGCTCCCTCCTTTCTCCTCTTCCTCCTCCTCCTCTTCCTCGCGGGGAGGAGGGGGGTCGTCCTGGGATGGGCAATTGTAGGGCGTGGAAGATGGGCTTTGTAGTCCCCGAGTTGGGGAGGTTTTTTTCTGATGGGGCTCCCTCCTTTCTCCACTTCCTCCTCCTCCTCTTCCTCATGGGGAGTGGGGGGGTCATCCTGGGATGGGCAATTGTAGGGCGCGGAAGATGGGCTTTGTGGTCCCCGAGTTGGGGAGATTTCTCTGATGGGGCTCCCTCCTTTCTCCTCTTCCTCCTCCTCCTCTTCCTCACGGGGAGGGGGGGTTCGTCCTGGGATGGGCAATTGTAGGGTGTGGAAGATGGACTTTGTGGTCCCCAAGTTGGGGAGATTTATCTGATGGGGTTCCCTCCCTCCTCCTCTTCCTTCTCGTGGGGAGGGGGGTCAGCCTGGGATGGGCAATTTTAGGGCGCTCAAACCCCCACCCCACCCCACCCCCGAAGACCCCACCCTAGCTTGGGAGAGGGTCCCTGCTTGTCCGAGTTTGTCCGCTTCCCCACGACCGCCGTTGCGCGGAAGATGGGCTTTGTGGTCCCCAAGTTGAGTGGGGTTCCCTCCCTCCCTCCCTCCCCCTCCTCCTCGCAGGGAGGGGGGTCACCCTGGGATGGCCAGGGAGGGTCCGATGGGCAATTTTAGGGTGCTCAACACCCCCCCCCGCGAAGACCCCAGTCCGCTTCTTGGGAGGGTCCCCACTTTTCAGAGTTCGGCCACTTTCCCACGACCTCCGGTGCGCACTTCGGGGTCCAGTGCGCGGAGCTTTGCCCGCGGCTCCTTCCTCCCCGAACTGGACCGGTCCCGCACCTCGTCCTAACCTCCTTTCCACACCAGGTTCCCAGCTATTGTGGATGAATCACAAGCCCCATGCTTCCCAGCCGGAGTAGGCACTGTGTGGAATTCCTGCCTTTCCTTCCCCCCCAGGCATGTCCTTTTTCAAGCATCTTCTTCAGGATTTTTGGAAGCTGGTTGGAAGCTTTGCAACCCCCGACTTAGTCCCATCATCCTTGCTCCGAGCGGGATGACTCCCTTACCCATGTGCCACTGCCTTCTCTCCCTGGGGTTTCGCAGTCTTGGGGGATCGTGGGAGGGAAGCCTCTAGCAAGCCATCCTTTTGGGGGTGGGGGTGGGCGGAAAATATCCTTTGCCCCCACCCAACCTGGTTAATTGGACCCAGCAAAATAGAGCCTCCCGATTCAGGAGCAGTGTATCTGAGAAGGGGAATCGGAGGCTAAGGGCAAAGCTGTGTTTCGCCCCTTTGGTTACATGGAAGGATGTTGCATAACTTGTGTTATGCAATGAGTGAACCTTGTGCGATTTTTGTTTTTTTTTAAGGGGCGACATAACTTTTGCGTTACTCGAAATTCCCGTTTTCCCATTTCCAGGGGTGCTGAGGCATCCTTTCGACGGGGACTTCTTGCCATTTTTCTTTGGGGTTATTTTTTTGGGGGGGGGTTTCCTTCATTGACCCTTCATTTTTTTTTTCCTTCAGGAATAAAGAAATACCCCCCCCACCCCAAGATTCTGTTAGGAATCTTCCCAAAAAATTACCCCAAAGAAATAAAATACTTGCTAATACATATTTTAACGGCAGCAAGGATAATATACGCTAAAAATTGGAAGTTGGAAAAAAATCCCAACGGAAGGAGAAATAATAGATAAAATTACACAACGTGCATAAATGGACAGACTGACAAAAGAGTTAAAAGAAAAAGAAGACGCCGAATTTTATAAAAGTTCTGAAATAAATGATATCAATGGCATTGGGCCATTGCGAATGAAATATAACTAGAAATTAGATAAAACAGAAGTACAAATGTGCATATAATTACTGCCTTATGGGCGAATAAGCTCTTCAGAAAGAAACTCAGAAAGCGAAGGTACAATCGAAATATATAATATATAGATCACTAAACCAGAAGTCTCCGAGAGGAGAAGAGAGGAGAGGATAAAGAAATAATAAGAAAATATTATGTTCGGATTTAAGGGAATAAGAAAACTGTATTACTGGAAAGACCATTACGAATCAGACGCTTCAAATGATTGACTATTTACGACTGTTTATTGTATAACGTATATTTTTGTTTTTGTCCTTTGTGTTTAATGTGTTTTTTCTTTATCTGTTTTAATAAAGTTTATAATTTTTTTTTTAAAAAAGAAAGAAATACCCCCACCAAGCCTTCTCTTTTGGCTTGCTCTGGTTATCAGATAGATTGCCTTGGCCCATGGAAGTTCCATTCTTCTCTCCTGCTCGATTGGATGCATTTGATGTTTGCGGGGGGGGTTATAAAATGGGGTGTCGCTGGTTCCCTGGGGGAAAAACAGCCTGATTTTATTACAACGAAGTGCCCAATGGCAGATTGCGCTCTGCACATGCTTGGGAGTTGCTGGGGTTTGGAGGAGGAGGGTTGTTGTTTTTTTTGGACCGTTCGAACGGAGGCTTCCTCTTGAGGGCCACGTTTTCCGATGCAAACACCTCACAGCCTCGTGGTTTTAAAAGAGTCGAGGTTGGACTCGTTGTGCTGTGTGACAACCCCTTCCACAATTTGCGCTGTTGTGTTACACGCACATTTTTCACCTGTTTTTTGGGGGCGAGGAGGGCCGCAAAATCTTGCTTATTTTTGGCTTATTTCGGGAGGTCCCGCTGCGTGCGTGGGGGGGGGAGGGCGGTTTAGTGGCAACGCACAACCGATTTCGCTAACCTCTCTCTCTCTCTCTCGTGGCTTGTGATTGACACGTTGTGTGTGGTGTGATCTTGAGAGGCCCGATTGTTGATTCATGACACGCCTGCAAATGTTCCAGATTTGTCCTCCGCTACCTTCATTTAATATACAGTTACAGCAATTAAAGATTTGCAAGGAAAGGAGGGGGGAAAAAAAGAGAGAGAGACTTGGTTAAAATAATATTTGTGCGGTTTGTGGGGGCGCACGCTTGCGGCTCCGTGGAACTCTTTGTTGTGGTGAATTTATGGAAGAAAGTTGTGGGTTTTTGTTTTTTTTCCTCACACAACAGAGAAAAGTAGGTATTTAATGGCTCCCAGATACTGACGATTATTTTTATTTAGGTGTTAATTATCTAGGGACACCCTTCTCAAAATGCCCGACGCTGGAGAGGACCCCCCTCTCTAATTCGTTTAGTGACCATTCAAAGTTACGACGGCACCGAAATACGCAACTCATGCCCGTTTTTCACACTTAACGACCGTTGCGGCATCAAAATTCGGACGCTCGGCAACTGACTCGTATTTATGACAGTTGCATTGTCCCCCTCCGGGTCACGGGGTCACTTTTTGCGACCTTCTGACGAGCAAAGTCAATAGGGAGGACGGATTCGCTTAACCACCGCGTTCCTAACTTAACAACTGGAGTGGTTCATTTAACGACTACGGCAAGTGGTAAAATAGGGCGAAACTCGCCTCACAGCTGTCTCGCTGAACAACTGAAATTTGGGGCTCGATTGCAGTCGTAAGTCGAGGACCGTCTGGACTTTAAAACAGGAGCAAAACATGATAACAAAACCATACATAACCTATGTATATATGTATATATATTTATATTTATATATATATTTATATATTTATATATATATATATATACATACATACACACACATATATGTATGTATTTCTCTTTAGCCAGATTCTTCCTACGTAAACCAAGATTTTTATGCAGCCCTAGTTCACTGAAATCCTGCTGCATAAAAATCTTGGTTTATGTAGGAAGAACCTGGCTAAAGAGAAATACACATAAAGGCCTACGAAAAGAAAAGAAAACAAATATATATATATTTATAGCAGCTGGTGAAAAAGCCACCAATTTCAACAATTACTATAATTTTACTACAAGCTCCCACACCTCCGCAGAATTTGCGATTGAGTTACCGAGCGGGAATAAAAGACTTTAACTAGGATAATTCACAAACCTAAGAAATAATTTTTCCACCTTTCGAGAGCTGTTCAGCTGGCGGCTGATTTCTTCTTTTGGAAAACGCTTAGATTTTTTTTTCAATAAATTAATTAAACAAAAACGGGGACATTTGGCCAGGCTTCAGCCGGACAGCAATGGTTTTTCCCCGCACCAAACATTAATTAATCAGGCTTCCAGAGTTTTTTTTCGGTTGCTTTTC